TCCTCGCCCTGGAAAAGTCGATGGGTTTAATGGAGACTAAGGAGAGTCTTTCACTATGGTACTACCCAAGCCAGTCTTTACTTAGCTTAACACTGACTAAGGGCGAAACACTGTTGATTGGATTGTGAGCCTGATTCCTTCTCTTTAATGTATGTGTTGTTCATCAAGCCTGGGTGTGGTTTTTGAGAACAAGAAACTAAACTGAAGAAGGGTCACTGGGCTTGAAACGTTAACTTTGCTTTCTATCTCCAGCAGTTTCTGTGTCAGACTTCCGCCATCCACAGTTTTCTTTGCTTTGTTTCAATTTAACTGAACTTTAGCTGGAAACTTTCACTGCATAGATTTTAAAAGTATTGATAAATAAAGTGCCAGTTCAGACATAGATACGTAGGTGCGGTCTCTGCAAATCACCAAGACACGACACACAGTAACCTGTCAAGGTGTTTTTCATCAGTCTGCTCACATGGCACTCCTCCAGAGCAGGTGGGACATGAACCTGGGTGTGCTGGCTCAGAGATCGGGCCACTACTACTGCACCACGAGAGCCCCAACAACATACGCAAGTGAAACCTCAATTAAATCTGCAAAAACAATGAACTCACAGTATGGGAGGGGCAGTACGAGCACTAAAAATAACTTAAACTATTTAAATTAAATATTCCCCTCAAGGCTGCCATAATCAAAGAAATGCAATCTCCCCTGAGTATCAAAAGCTGACATTTCTAATGCAAGCTTGCAATCTTGAAGGAAGAACCATCTGCCTGAAGCAGTCAGCTATAAAGACAGCCCAGTGTGGTAACATTCATCTGGAATGTTCTCATTAGAGTTTCTTTTTTGATCTAAAGATCTGATTGTGCTCCCATGAGGTCCTGGAGTCAATACCTTCTTCTGCTCAATCCCATTCAACCTAAATTTCTCTTTAGAAGGCCAACCCTCCTGACTCCTAGCTCCTTCAGGCCTTTGGTTTAAAATTGCAACTTTTTTAAAATCATTCATGGGCTATGGGTGTCACTGGCTAGACCAGCATGTTGTTGCCTTTTGCTAATTACCCAGAACACATTGCAATGGGTCTGGAGTCACACATTGACCTGATCATGTAACGACAGCAGATTTCCTTCTCTGAAGGACATTAATGAACCAGATGATTTTTTTTAACATCAATTAATGGTGGTTCCACAGTTGCTTTTAGGCTAATTTTTGTTTTAATCACCATTTATTTTATTGAATTCAGATTTTGCCTTCAGCCATGATGGGATTTAACACAGTGCCCCAGAACATTAACCTGGGGTTTAGCTTGCTTGTCCAGTGACATTACCACTTCACCGCTGTCTGCCCAAGTGGACCCTGCCTTGAGGGCGAGCTGAAGAAGAATCTTATTGAGATTAAACAAAATTGTAATGTTACTCTCATTGTCTTTGAGCACTCTCCTCATGCACTGTGTGTACAAGGGAAAGGATCAAAGTTTTGGAAAAAGAGATGCAGAAGGGGTGTGAGCAAGAACTTTGTACTCAGGAACATGGTACTGACTAGGAATTTGCTGTCCATAAGGGTGGTGAATGTGGGGACATCAATGATTTCAAAATGAAATTGGACAGGCACTTGAGAGAATTATTAGCAGGGCCATCAGAAAGCAGTGAGAAAATGGAGCTGACTGCATTGTTCTATAAAGAGCAAGCACAGACTCAACAGAGACCTCAAACCCGTTCAGACTCTAGGGGCAGTACGGTGGTTCATTGCTGCCTCACAGCGCCAGAGACTCGGGTTCAATTGCACCCTCGGGCGACTGTCTGTGTGGAGTTTGCACATTCTCCCCGTGTCTGCGTGGGTTTCCTCCCACAGTCCAAAGATGTGAAAGGTAGATGGATTAGTCATGGGTTACAGAGATTGGGTAGAGGGGTTGAGTCTGGCTGGCATGCTCTTCGGAGAGTTCGTATGCCCTTGTCGGGTCAAATGGACTGTTTCCACACTGTAGGGATTCTATCGTTTTAGGGAATATAGGCCAAGTCTTGTCTCATAAGGCAGTGCCTTCATCTCCGGAGTCAGTCCAGTGAACCTTCATTGCACTCCCTCAAGAATATACAGATACATACACAGATACTGTATATTCTTCCTTGTGTACAGTTTGGGTCTCCTTCCCCTTTACTGCAGATGTGGTTTCATCAAGGTGTTATACAGTTGTAGCAATAGTCTATTATTCTTAGAAATTGGAAGAAACATAGTCTTGACTTTTCAAATTGCCGCTTTCACCTGCAGGTTCACTGTCTGGTCACAGGGACATTTTGGCTGTAGTCTTTTTTTAAAATCTTACTTCACTTGTGGAATATGGGCATCACTGGCCAGGCCAGCAGTCATTGCCCCTGAGCATGTGCAGTGCCTTGGGATGTTAAAGGTGCTACACAAACATGAGTCTTTCTTGTTGTACCTAACATGGGAGTACCAGAGAATAAGCTCAGGATTGTGAAGTCCCTGAACGTCTTTTTGGTCTCTCTCTCAGTCTACCCCATGTCACCTCTAGCCCACTGTTCAGGTTTGCATCCTGTGCTCTGCTGCACAAGTGTGGGAATTGTCTCCCAAATGGGAAATCTCTTCCTAAAATGTCCTGCCTTTAATTTCTTTAGTTTTAAATTTTTTTCTCTAATAATTTGTTCTTAAGAATCTGTACCTAGATATCTTTATAAGTGTTGACTGTAAACGTTTCACTACATTCAACGAGTATATGTAACAATAGACACTAATTCTAATTCTAATTGTTCAAGTCTACCAGGCTTAGGATCTTTGCAACATAAAAGATGCATTGCAAGTGTTAATTTGTTTTAGTATTGAAGTCTATATTTTCTGATGAACAGAAAGTTTAGTTCCCAGGTTGACTGCTTTAAAATACATGGGTTAATGATCTGGGCTTTTTGATAAAACACGAGCAAGACGGTTATGCTGAAACTATATAAAACTCTGATGAGACCACAGACAGAGTACAGTGTCCAGTACATTATAGGAAGGATATGATTGTACTAGAGAGAGTGCAGAGGAGATTTTAGCAGGATGATGCCTCTAGGCTGCAGAGTCTGAGATATGAGGAACAATTGGCTGGATTGGGGTTATTATCCTTGGAGCAGTGAATATTGAGAGAGGGCCCAGTAGAGGTGTATAAGATTATGACCGACATTGACAGAGTGGACCCAACAACACTTTCCCATTAGTAGAGGGATCATAGATTTAATGTAACAGGTGGAAGGCCAAGAGGAGAGTGAGTGAAAAAGATTTTTCCTCAAAAGGGTGGTGTGAACTCACTGCCTGAAAGGGTTGGTTGAGTCAGAAATTCTCGCCACATTTTAGCCCTAATTTGGTCTTCACTTACATTGCTATAACTTCCAGAGTAAGAGATGCAAAATGGGGTTAGTATAGTCAGATCTTTGGTGCAGGCCTATGGGCCACATGGCCTCATTCTGTGCTGTAAATGTCATTGAGTCTTGCTAAACTGTCCCACTTTGAATTATAATGTGTACTGTCATTTAATACCTTTATTTTACTGGATGTTTACTGGATCGTGTTCAACCAGTACATTAATCATGTGTGGCTGGTTGTGAACCTTATTGGATGCACCTTCCTGGATTTCTGAGCAGTAATGTGTACAGCAGGGAGCATATTGTCTGGCTTTCAGACCTTGGTGCTGCACCTACATGTATGAACCTTTTTTAAGCTTTTTGCTTATTTGGTAAAATGGGAAACCAAAAACAGCGTGAGTGTTTAGAAACGCTCGAGTGCAAACACTCCTTTGGTTACTGAATAGTTGGAAATGTGTGTGTAAGGTAAATAGACACATTTGACTTACTGAGAACAAAACGTGCTTCCTTTAAAATTAGTGGCCAAAACATGTTGGCTTAACAACACTGTATTAGTGCAGTAGAGGTAAATTGAGACTAATCTGTCTCACAATATCATGGAAGTGTACAGTTTCATGGCCTTGTTCTCTTGCATTGTTGAGCTCCCAGGTAAACAACAAATACACATTTATATAGCATTAGCTTTGTAGTTTAGGCGCTTTCCAACGAGCAATTATGATCACATGCAAGGCCCCACAGACAGAGGAAAGTGGGGCATCAGTGGAGTAGACACACAGTTCTCATCTACAAATTGTACCATGGCATCTTGTAGAATCATACAATCACTACAGTGCAGATAGAGGCTATTCATCCCATCGAGTCTGCACTGACCCTCCAAAGAGCATCCTGCCCAGACCCAAGGACCAGGATTGAGACCACATTACTGTGCTGCAGTGATGAGGACACAGTGCAAACTCATACACACAGTTAGCAATGCTCGCAGGTTGTGATCTGAGCTGATAATAAAACTGTTTGAGGTCTTCAGGTCAACCGAATCCACCATCCTCCTTACAAATTACAAGATGGCACACTGCCTCACCAAGGGAGACAGCTGGGTCAATACTGACTGTGGCAGTATCAATGGCGAGAAATTAAAGTTAACGTTTCAGGTCAGAGCTTCTGAGGAAGGGTCACCGGATCCGAAACGTTAACTCTGATTTCTCTCCGCAGATGTTGCCAGACCTGCTGAGCTTTTTCCAGCAATTTCTGTTTTTGTTTCTGATTTACAGCACCCGCGGTTCTTTCAGTTTTTAAATAGTGAGCGCGCTGGTTCCTGCTGTCTGCCATGTTGGCACAGTCTGGTGAGGTACCGAGGTGTGGCATTAATGGGTATATGGGGTGAAAATTCAAACTAGTGGGCTTGAGAGAGAGCACTCACAGTGGAAACTCTCCCTCCTGGGAGGCCAGCGTGTGCCTGAAAGGGTTAAGCCAGAGCTTTTGATCCACCTGGCCAGCTGTTTGGTGAGTCAGATCTGACAGCGATATCTCCAACAATACTGAGTGCGGCAGGGAAGTCAAGGCACTTGGGGAATGTATTAAGAAGCTCCACCCCTTGCCCAACCACTCTGGGGTAACAGCAGCAACAACACATTTGTAAAGTAACAAAAGACTCCTGACAAACAAGTGGGCTCTTGTGTGCGATTTGTATCTGAACAGGATATTTACTTTCCCAAGATCTTTGAGAGCTGCCCATGTGGGAATGCAGGAACAAGGAAGTGTCGTTTTTTTTAAAAAAGCTAACCTTTGTGTTTTAAGCTGGTGTTTTCAATGCTGAGGCACTTATCGCAAATCGCATTGTGAAATACTACAAAAGGAATCTGAAGTGCTCCTGCTTCGAGAGGTGCTCTCAGTCGAACTTGCTGCAGGAGAGGTCAGATTGTCCCAAAAGGAATGTGTTAGTAACTTCAGGAAGCCTTTTCTCCCCACCTCAGTGTGAGCTTTCAAAGGTGCCAAGGTGTGATGAGGCACACCAGCAGTGTTTGAGAAGTGGTTTCCACAGTTTTTGTAGGGTCGCTGTGCTCTCGGCTGTCTTGACTCAGCACATGGCAGGCCCACAGAGTCACTGTAACAGAGATGGAAATACTCAGAGAGTCTGTTGTCCATTTGGCTCTTCAGATGTCGACCTACAAACGAGCTACCTTTGACGAGGATGACCTGATCGACTCTACTGTTGATGATGTGTACACCGAGAACCATCAGGTAGGACATTGGAAATCTATCCTTTTCTTTTGTCAAAATGCATGTTCTGCCTCCACTTTTTAATTGCTGCACCCTTGTTCTTTCCAAACGCTAGACTAATCCCATTCAGACTGAAATCACTAACGCTTTTTTGCCAAAATGTGCCACCTCTCATGTACATTGGACACTTTTAAAGTTATTTAACATATTTTGTTTCAAACTCCTCATTTCCTTGGTTTTTCTGTGTCCTTAGAGTCAGAGAGTCATACAGGACGGAAACAGACCCTTCGGTCCAACCAGTCCATGCCGACCATAATCCCAAACTAAACTCGTGCCACCTGCCCGTGCTTGGCCCATATCCCTCCAAACCTTTCCTATTCATGTACTTATCCAAATATCTTTTAAACGTTGTAATTGCCAGTGGCTACTGTGATGTAATCACTTCTGTTTAGTCCATCCGTGTTATCTTTCCCATGCCTGTCCCGACTGGGAACACATGTACGTACAGTCAGTACTACAGTGTGTTTTGCTTTCATCAGTTCACAGGCTATTGGGCATCACTGGCAAGGTCAGCACTTGATGTCCCCTTCCTCATTTACCCTGAATGAGAGGGTGGCACTGAGCCACTACCTTGAATGCAACCAAATGGTTTTGCCCATTTCAGAGGACAGTTAATTGTCAGCTACATTGCTTTGGGTCTGGAGTCACATGTAGACCAGACCAGGTAAAGATATATTTCAGGATATTGATTTGCTTTTTACAACAACCTGATAGTATCACAGTCGCCATTGCTGAAGTCAAGATTTATTTGTAATGAACTCAGCATAAATTCCCCAGCTGCTGTGCTGGGATTTGAACTTGAGTTCCCAGAGCATTAGTTCACACCTCTGGATTACTGATCCAGTGACTGTGCCACCACACCCTCTAAAGGATGACCTTGCAAGAAGTTTGAGTAGCACTTCCAACCAATGCCATGTCCCACATCGATGATTGCATCAGATGGACTGTAGGAGTTCAAATGTTGGCCTTCCCAGTGACGCCTACATCTCAGGAAGAAAAATAATAGCTTCAAAAAAACCTCCTCAAATCCAGCCAAGCTCAGTCAGTGATCAGCTTGAGGGTGAATCACAGAGTGCAAACGTGTACAGCTGAGTGCAAACCTGAGAGTTTGGTAAGTAAGGAATCTGCTAAAATTAGGGAAGAAGATATTTCTTTGCTTTTCTGCCCTTCTGTGGGAATTGGTTCTTGCTCTTGCTATTTTGCAGTAAGTGGTTAAGACTTACTCTCTTCGTAAGTTTTACCTTTATTATCTATTTGTATACAATGTTAATAAATATATAATTTAACAACATATTTGAGACAGGTGGTGTATCAAGGCTGCAGCATGTGAGAGACTCTGGATACAATCGTGCTCCAGGACGAGCATGTTTGAGTGGATGTTTGTGGTACAATGAACTTTGGCTAAGAGTCTGAGCTAGATGCTAAACTATAAGCATCACAGTATATGATGAAGAGGGATTTATTATCTTGATGTTTTCTACTGGGGCAGTTACACCACTTTAGATAGGACCTTCTGGTTTGGTCAGTGTTCAGGAACAGGTGAATATGACTGAGAGTGAGCCAGGCAAGGGGATGCAAAGGGCAAGAGTATAGGAGCAACATAGGTCCAATAGGTTTGAAGTTCCCTAAGCCTGAGAGCCAAGGTTGGCAGATGGATGAACACATGACCGTGGTGTTGTGGTACAGGAAGCTATTGAAGTTAGAGAGCGGACAGGGATGTAGTAGCAGTTGGGAGTGGTTTAGTGAGGGAGATTGACACTGTTCTCTTCAACAAAGAATGCGAGTTATGTGTTCTAGGACATCTGCTCAAAGCCGGAGAGGCGCCTGCACTGCGAGGTGGAGGGTCCAGTGTCATGGTCCTTGTATGCACGAATAGCGTAGGAAGAACTAGGCAAATGTTAGGGAAAGCATTAAACCAAAGGAAAAAAACTATAACTGAGTAAAGATAATGGCAGATCATAGGAATGGTCAGGCTACATAGAGCCGCAGGGAATAACTGGAAGGTCAGTTGGTATGAAGAAATTAAGAGTTTAAAGAGGAAGCTGGTTAGGAATGTAAAAATAGATAGCAGAAGTTTCTACAGATATTTTAAAAGGAAAAGAGTAAGTAAAATGAGTGTTGTTTTTCCACGGAGTTAAGATGGGCAGTTCACATACAGGAACAGCAGGTTAAATGAATAAAATATTTTGCTGTGTCTTCACTATAGAAGTTTGCCAATAATTTGAGGAGGAGGAAGAGAGAGAGGAATTTAGTACAATCACATTCAGAAGGGAAATGATACTGAGAAAACTGTTGGAGCTGCAGACTGACAAGTCTCAAATCCAAATAGATTTCATCCTAGGTCTTAAATGAGGTAGTGGGTACATTTAACATTCATTTTCCAAAATTCCCTAGATTCCAGAACGATTCAATATGATTGGGAAGTAGCAAATATCGCATCTTTATTCAAGAAGGGAAGGAGGGAGGCAGAAATCAGGAACTTATAGGCCAGTTAGTTTGGCATCTGTCATGGGATGATGATAGAGACAATCTAATAACAGCCAGGTACTTAGGGAAAAAATTCAAGGTGGTTTGAAATGTGCCAGTGTAGTTTTGTTAAAGGGAAATCATGTTTAACCAATTTGTTGGTGTCCTCAATGGAGCAACATACCTTGTGAATGAAGAGGAGTCTATAGACTTATTGTCCTTGGGTTTCCAGAAAGTGCCACATTAAGGTGTCATAGAAAATAAATACTCATAATGTAGAGGGTAACACTTTGGCATGGATAGAAGATTGTCTGGCTAACAGAAAACAGAGAGGCTGGGTCATTGTCTCATTAGCAAGATGTGACAGGGTTCTGTTCTGGGGCCTCAATATTTGACAATAAATGTCAACTTATTTTGACGACAGGATGGTTACTAACTCTGCAGATGATTCAAAAATAGGTAGGAAGGTATGTTGTGAAGAAGTCATAGGGAGTTTGCCAAAGTACGTAGATGAGTCAAGTGGACAAAAATCTGGCAGATGGAGTATAATGTGGGAAAATGGAGAATTTGTTTTCTTTGGCAGAAAGAATATAAAAAGCAGAGCATCACTTAAAAGGAAAAGGAACTCTAGAATTCCGAGATGCCAAAGGATCAAGATGTTCTAGTGCATGAGGCACAAGAAGTTAGAATGCATGTACAGAATGCAATCAAGAAGGCTAATTGGATTCTATTCACTACAAGAGAAATTGAACCAGAGACATTAAGGATATTATTCTTCATTTCCACAGGACATTGGTTGAGATCTCATCTCAAATACTACGTGCAGTGTTGGTTTCCTTATTTAAGGGAGGATGTAAATGCATTGGAAGCAGTTCAGAAGAGGTTTACTAGATTGAGGCCTGCAATTATGGGTGGCACAGTGGCTCAGTGGTTAGCTCTGCTGCCTCACAGTGCCAGGGACCTGGGTTCGATTGCAGCCTTGCGCAACTGTCTGTGTGGAGTTTGCATGTTCTCTCCACGTCTGTGTTGGTTTCCTCCCGCTGTCCAAAGATGTGTAGGTTGGGTGGATTGGCCATGCTAAATTACCCATAGTGCCTAAGTGGATTATCCATGGGAAATGGAGGGTGATAGGCTAGGGGGGTGAGTGTGGATGGGATGCTCTTTGGAGGGTCATTGTGGACTTGATGGGCCCAGTGGCCGGCTTTCACACTGTAGGAATTTTATGAATTAACAGGTTGCCTTATGAGGATAGGTTGGACTGGCTGGGCTTGCTTGCACTGGAGTTTAGAAGAATGAAATAGAGACCTGACTGAGGTGAATGGTCTCGACAAGGTTGATGCGAAATGGCTGTTTCCCCGTGAAGTGGAGTCCTGCACTAGCAGGCGCTGTTTTGAAATGAGAATTTACTGCAGAAGCCACAAGGCCTTGTTTGATGTCAAACCACTTGGACTAACACCAAAACCTTCTGCAGACCATTCAGTGCATGTTATAGCTTAATAGGCTGGATAATTTTATTTAAGAGGCTGGATTTAAATCAGTGATATGATTGACACATTCATTGAACACAGGTTATGTCCCACTGGAGATGGAAAACAAGGGAGATGCTCTTCACCAGACAATATAAAGCATCTGACTATTAGTAACTAACACAAGAGGTGCTGAATTTTCCGTATGGATTCCCATCCATTGGGAATACAGCATGGCAGACAATAGTGGGATCTGATCTCAAGACTCTGAGGTAACTTACTCGAGGAATGAACACATGGATGGCATTGAAGGGTTGAGCCAGTCCCATAACAACATCAGAAAGAATTAAAATAAATCAAAATCAAAATAAATTAAATTGAAACCAATAAAATAAATCACGGCAGGGCAGGGAGCAGCTGTGGAGTTGAAATGAACTTGATGTTCAGTACAGAAAGGCAGTGGAGTGTCTGGTGAAAAGCTGAGCGGCTTTTTCTTGAGTTTACGTTGAGATTAACTTGCCTTCGTCAGAAAAGTGAGGAGGGTTGAAGAAAGGGGAATCCAGGCGCGAGTGGGGCAGAGAATTAAACAGACCTGAAGCTGGGGCTCATGCTGATGGAAAAGAGAGATTTGATGAAAAGGGTTAATGTGGAGGATTGCCAGAAGCAATGACTGTGATGTCATTTGGACTAACAGACAGAGCAGATTGAAATCTCAAAGAGGTGAGACCTAACACCTAATCCTTCTCAAGGTCTCTGTAACAATGTCCATCAGATGAAGGAAACCTGGAACTAGTTGGTAACACGCAATAAATTATATCTTGGATCGATAATGGACTTTCCCACTTAGACAAAGAGTGGTTATCCTCTCCTGCACCAGACCAAGCAGACCCTGGAGGTTTCTACAGTTTAAAAGGGTATTGGCAGTAACTTACACCATGAGCGCAGTGAGCAGGCCCTGACATACAGCAGTGTTCAGCATTGAGTGAAGGTTACTCAGTCTATGTCTGGTCTCCATCCCGCAGAAGGGGC